TGACCAAGTCAGGACTGGACCACTAAGACCTATCTCACTCTATCACTGTTGCAGGAGATCACTTTTATAAGCTCAGGATCTCCTCTGGATGATGCTACAGCACCACCTCAGTCTCCACCGGCAGCACCTCCATCATATTCTTTTGATGATATCAATTTATTCCCTTCATTTTGTAGATCATTCTGAACGACCCTCAGGTCTGTAGTTCCATCACTACAGCAGGCAATACGGTTCTTGGAGATCTGGCCACTCTGTATGACAGGGTTATACATGCTAGTGACAGCTTTAAACGTGATATGCTTAATGAATTGAAAATAATGAAAAAGATTAGAATAATTTCATGAATTAATGAATTATGAATTAACCTTTTGCCTCTGCAGAACCTGAGTGCCTTCCAGCAGACATACAACCAGCTGGTGGCTGTAGCTCAGAAAGCAGCCTATCACGAGGCCATTAGCTCGGAACTGGTGCAGATTGGAGTGAGTTCATACTGCCTCAGCTTTAGCCTAAAACATGGCCACATTTTTACCGCAGTGTGTTTGACTAGGACACTAATGTTTCTCATCCTTTTAGATTCACTTCAGCTTCATGGATGTGATGTTTGAGTTGGTGGTGCTTGGAGTGTTTGGAGGAGCAAGGACTCAGATTTCCCCAGTAAGAGCATCAAGTTTAAGTTTGTGCCAGTACATTATGAAACATGTGAAAGTGATGATGTAGGATTAACTTTTCATATCCATGTAGTCATATTTAGTAGGACATAAAAGACTGAATCTGGTATTAGATTAGTGCACTTATATATTCTTTTTCTTTCTGTGGCTGTCCCAGACTCCAGGAGGATCCCTTGAGCTCTCAAATGGCTGCGCTGTACTCCTTCACTCGTGCCAGTGCCTCCACCCAGTAGGGGTTATATGAAACAGAGAAGACACGATCTGTGTCCCCACCCCTGATACTTTTAGTCTCAACACTCACCCATGTAGTATGTTGGTACCTATCTTGTTGCAAATGATGATCAGTGTGTATGTGTGTTAAAGATGTGGGAAGGTGGGCTTCAGGAATTATCTGGATCATGGTAGCAACCTGCAGAGTGAAGTGTAAGCGGGACAGGTATTAGTCAGACCTAGCATTAGACCCCCCACCCTGTCCAGATCTAGCAAGACAGGTGAGACGCCCCTACTACTAGATTAGTGTAGAATTAGAGATTGACAGCAGTTACCAAAAAGGGGAATATTTAATTTAAAAATGAAAAAGTGTTTGTTCTCTTGGTTTCAGCTCACTTTTCTTTTTGAATAAAAATAAATAAATTAAAAAAAACATCGAATAAAACCATCAGAATTTACCATAAAGAGCCATCACTAAAAAAAAAAACACATTTATTCAAACTTTTACCATCAAAATTAAGACAAAGGAATAAACAGTTGCCTTTCTTAGCAGCTATACACCGATCAGGCATTACATTGTTTCTACGCTCATTGTCCATTTTATCAGCTCCACTTACTATATAGGTGCACTTTGTAGTTCTACAATTACAGACTGTAGTCCATCTGTTTCTCTGCATACTTTGTAAGCCCCCTTTTACCCTGTTCTTCAGTGGTCAGGACCCCCATGGACCCTCACAGAGCAGGTACTATTTGGGTGGTGGATCATTCTCAGCACTGTAGTAACACTGATGTGGTGGTGGTGTGTTAGTGTGTGTTGTGCTGGTACGAGTGGATCAGACACAGCAGTGCAGTTGGAGTTTTTAAACACTGTGTCCACTCACTGTCCACTCTATTAGACACTCCTACCTTGTCAGTCCACCTTGTAGATGTAAAGTCAGAGACGATAGCTCATCTGCTGCTGCACAGTTTGTATTGGTCATCCTCTCGTCCTTTATCAGTGGTCACAGGACGCTGCCCACAGGACGCCGTTGGCTGTATATGTATGTAGTAAATCGCTGTTGTCGGAAGAAAGCCTTGTATTTCAGTTTTTGTTGTTTTTCAGTTTTTTGACATAATTTGAAAATGCCTGTTGCTCTTTACAGTGTGTGTAATGGGCCAAAATAAACAGCCCAAAATGACTTGGAAAAAAGTCTGGTTCCACTGACTCACATTAAAAGTAAAGTATGTTTTTTCCTTCTCATGTAAAGTCAACATTTTGGAAATATGAGGTTTTCTTCCGACAACAGTGAAATATTTTTCACACATTTCCTTTGTTACTTGTTAACTCAGAACTCACATTAAAAGAAATCATTAGTCCAGGACTGTCCAGTCTTATCCACTAAAGAATGGCCAGTGTTGCTGCAGGTTTTAATTTCAGTGAAGCACAAGCACACCTGATCAGTTATTTGAAGATTGAGACAAACTTATTAATCAAGCAGAATCAAGTATGCTTCTGTTCGAATGGAATGAACATCTGCAACCACATGAGCCCATTGTGAATGAGACTGAACCCCCAGGTTGCATAGGGCAGCTACTGAATTCTGTTGATAAATATTTTGAAAAATATGACAATATAATCAGAACTTGTTACGTGTTGTTGAACTGCTGCTCTCTAACAATACAGGTCCAGCAGTTTTAGTTACTTTCACTTACCTAAAGTTTTGTGGAATCCATGGTGATCAGGCAGGAGCCTTACAAATCTTCGCCCTCTATCTGTGATAGTAATGAATGGTAAAACAAATGAATTAGACTATTCTACACCTTAATTTACAAGTACTTTTGAAATAATCAAACGTTCCACCAAATCACATATTTTGTGTATAAAGTTTATCTTATTTATCTTAATCAGCTGAATGCTACAGATGTGGCAGATGTTGAAAAACACTGAAGTATTCCTTTAATGTCTGTGTTTGTTATGTATTGTCAAATAAGGTAAGTTGCATTTGCTTAGATAGGATAAGGTAAAATATGGTATGTAAGGTATATAAGGTAAGGTACAATAGAGATTTTGGATAGTAGCTGTAAATAATGGGACTCTTTATTGGTAGTTATTGTAATATTGTAATATGTTTTTGAGTCCAAGCCTCTGAGATAGTTCAGTGTGACGTTTAGAAGATCAACAACAAGGTAAGCAAAGGCATAGGATTAAAAAAGCATATGGTTATTATATGATATATATGAGCTTTATAGAATGGAAATGAATGCTGTGTCTTTCTCTGTATTGTTAGCAGGCTGGGTGAGGGGATGGATTCACTTTTTTGCTGGCTGTGCTGATGCATAAGGTTAGATAATGACCTAGTTGAGCTGAGTTTATACTTTATGGATGAAAACGACCCTTCTCATCTCTTCAGTCTCTGTCTTTACATGTTTGCAGGCGGTGCTACTACTACGTGCTTGGACTGCCAACAGATCTGCATGTCTTAGATCAAGTATGATCAAACCTGAAACTATACAGTCTTTCACTAGAGTGGAGTGTGTGCTATTCTGAATGGTCATTCTTCCTTTCCTCTGTCATCATATGCAGCGTAGTATCTCAGGGTGGTCGGCTGATTGGTACGTTTAAAGAACGACAATAACAGTCATCAAGGTTATTTGATCAAATGTAGCTTGATAATAAGTGGTGAAAATCTGTTCATTTATAAATGATTATTAATGCTTTTATGTATAAACATCTCTTCATATTTGCTAGATGTGCTTTAAGGTGAGAAGACTCATCTGAATTTGAATTATGTTGTTCATTGTATGTGTTTGTGTAGTGTGAGCCTATTGTTTTTCCCTCTTGATTAATTTACGAATATTTTCTCTTGCTGTGTTTATGTGACAGTGTCACATGAAATCATTTATAGTTCACCAATCAGTCTAATAGTGCTCTGCTGGACTGACTACCTTCCACCACCATCACTTTGTAAGTTTGTGATTAATTATTTCAGTTTTTCATTGACTTTTAACACCTAAATAACGCTAACAGCCCATCTCACCCTCTGTACCCTCTTTTTCTATACATCTGTATGATTGAGCTAACAGTGATACACATGGACCTCCTCCTTTGATGGCTGATACATAATTATTGATGACTATGCATAATCATTAAGGTAATTAGGTAATAAGTAATTTGTGAAGTAAAAATGTTTGTAACATGCTGTCTTAAATAATTTATTGTAATTATTAAAAAAAAATAATAATATTTTTTTCTTGAGCATTTTGTCTGTTGGCTTTATATCTTCATGCATGTATGTGAGCCTCGATTACTAAATCCTACTTTGGGTCACTTTTATTATCTTAGCTACAGCATTAGCTATGAGTTACAGCCAGGGTTCGAAACACCCCCTGGTATTTCGGGGGTCCCATGTTGGCTGGCTACTCCAGCGTTGGTTGGCTGCTCCAGTTTTGGCTGGTTGCTAACTCACTCCCCATAACGGCACTGTTGCTAACTTCAGTGGCAACAAAATATTTGGTTTAACATTTGGAACTTTTAGAAAGGCTCTTTTCTAGTTTGGTAATGTGGTTCTCCTCACATTAATTGGGATCTTACACATTCCTCTTTTGTCTTTAGTTTGAGAAATGAGTGGCAGTTCACTCTTTCCACCAAACTCTTGAGAAATTGGGCAAGTTTTCAGATTTACAAATATGCTACGGCATATTATAAAGTTTTTCAGAGATATCCAGGGGATATTTACACTTGCTAGACTATGTAGTTAACATTAGCTGCAATGCTATTGTAGCTAACAAGAAATGTAAGTCTATAAAACACTTCCCTTATTTTTTTATATTTGCGCCATAGCTCCAGTGCAAAACTATAGAAGACATGGCTCAGCTGATCAACCACTTTTGGGGCAAATGAAAATTACATTTTTTCAACTAACTGTTCCTTTAAGTGAGACTATTTGAAATACTAATATAGAAATAAGAGTATACAAGCATCTGTGCTGTATAATGGTAGTGATAATAATAATAATAATAATAATAATAATAATAATAAAAAGAAGAACTGTTTTTAATCGATAAGTTAATGAAAATTATTATTGTTCCTATTTTCAGGGATCGATTCAGGATCGGGGTTGGAGTTTCCGGGGGGAACACATTGCAGCACGCACTCTTTTCCGCTGAGCAGTAATAAAGACACGGGCCGGGCGGAGCACAGCGGCGGCTTCGCGGGGCAATTTTTGAAAGTTGTTTAGCGGAATCCGGTGTAAATCGGAGCCATCCCAACAGCAACCATGGTAAGACCTGGATAATTATGTTGTTTTCTCTCTCTGTGTGTACATTTTTCAAATATTGCATGCAATTCTGAAACATATCTAGCTAAAACATTGTCATAGCGACTTCCCTGTCCGTACGTTGGGGTGACGTTCGGTACTCGAGTATGGCGAGTTAGACTGGAGCGAGTGGCGTTTAAAGTGTTATAATGATATTTCTAACACTCTCTCTTCATATGAGCGCACCATATAGCTGATATCCCCTGTATTGCATGAAATGCTGGTGTGGAGTGCTTAATACTTCATTTCACACAATGAATGGGAATCGTGCAAGGCTGCGTTAGCCAGGGCGCTAATGTTACTGCTACTGCTCAGTGCGGCTGAACAGATGGCGGGTTTCACATTAAAACTACCACACACTGCTGACTCTTCACCTTATAGCGCCTAACTTCACTTGGTGAACTAGACAGCTAACATTTTTATCACGTCTACACGACCGAAGTAGCCAGTTAGCTGAATGTCCACAGCCTAGGTCACTGTTTACGTTAGCTAGTTAGCTAGGTTAGCTGGCTAACTTAGCATTTAAGGTTTATTATTGTTATATCAGTGGTAAACTTGTGGGCCATGTACGTGTTGAAGTGTGTTTCACTTTCATCTACACTTTTAAAAGATGGTTCTTATAGGGTTCCTTGGTAAAAGCAATGGCTTTATTAGAACCATGAGTTCTGTATAGAACCACTTGCATAATGAAATGTTTCTTTATATGCTGAAGTGGTTCTTCAGATTGATGGAAAATGTGCTGTATATGGTTCTATATAGCACCAAAAAGGGTTCTGCTGTTTATGTCAAGCTTGTAACAGTAGAAGAACCCTTTTTGGTGAAGAGTAGAGCTATGGTTCTGTGTAGAACCATTTTTTAGAAGGTTCAGTGTAGAACCATATGCAACAAATTCTCAGTCAATATCAGTCTGAGGAAACATTTCACTGTGCAAAGAACCATTTCAGCATTTTATATAGAGCTTCTGCCTTTACTAAAGAGCTCTTGGAGAACCATCTTTTAAGTGTACGTAACTCTTCTGGTCTATGTAAAGTAACACTGTTTGTTTTTCAGACGGTCGGAAAGAGCAGTAAGATGCTTCAGCACATCGACTATCGGATGCGCTGTATATTGCAAGATGGTCGGATATTCATCGGGACGTTTAAGGCATTCGACAAGCACATGAACCTCATTTTGTGTGACTGCGATGAGTTCAGAAAGATCAAGTAAGGCATCACAGACTGAAAGGAGGGTAACTTAGTTTCAAGTATTTTGGGACACGTAATGTCTGTTTTAGGTAATGGTCTCAATGAGCAAAACAGAATTTTACTAATTAAAGTAAGGACTTTTGTGCTCTAGACCTGTGAGCTTTGTCTCTCAATACTTAATGCAGTGTCCCATTTTAACTTGACTTGCCCTGCTCCATAAGCATGGTTCATTCTGCCATATTTTTAGGTTACTGGTGTGAAATATTCTTAACTGCTTCCCTGATTTCTTAGGCCCAAGAATTCTAAGCAGCCAGAGAGAGAAGAGAAGAGGGTGTTGGGTCTGGTGTTACTCAGAGGAGAAAACCTGGTGTCAATGACAGTAGAAGGACCTCCTCCCAAAGATGTAAGTCACAGTTAATGCTCAAACCATTCTGTATTTCTTGTAATTGGCTTTACATGTCTCATGTGTTGGTCCTGTTACAGACAGGAATTGCCCGTGTGCCCCTGGCAGGGGTTGCTGGAGGTCCAGGTGTGGGTAGAGCAGCAGGCAGAGGTGTACCAGCTGGAGCTCCAATGGCCCAGGCCCCTGCTGGTCTAGCTGGACCGGTCAGAGGAGTTGGAGGCCCGTCACAACAGGTGAGTAGCTAGTCCTCAACTTCAGGTTGATCAGCTGTCCTTGCACACCAGCTCCTGATTTTCTTAATGAATGATGGTGTAAAAACACACTAGTGCATCAACTTGAATATTGATTTGTATGTTACTAGTTTATATTCCTTTACGCAAATAGGTCCTCCATCCGCATGTTGTAACCGTTGATCATGCTAATCCAATTGTGAAGTTTAAGGTTTCATTGAATGCAAAAGAATTGAGGTCAAACTTGCAGTCCTACCCGTTAGTTTGTATTAAGAAGAAACTTTTTTTGTATTATGTTTCTGCTGCATAGGTTGAACAAGTGTCTATGCATGTTTTGTATGGATAGTTGAGATGAGGATTATACCTTCATCCAGACTGGAGGACACTAATGACACTAACTTTTTTCCAAATTGCTAAACTGCTTTTTAATTTCTTTTAGGTAATGACACCTCAGGGCAGAGGCACAGTGGCTGCAGCTGCGGCAGGAGCCAGCATCGCCGGGGCCCCCACGCAGTATCCTCCAGGCAGGGGTGGACCTCCTCCACCCATGGGAAGAGGAGCACCACCTCCAGGTATTCTAAACCTTCTATCTGCTTGCAACATCAACTGCTCTCAGATCAGTTTAATGGGGAACATTGTATGAAGTTCTAACCCCCCTCGTCGGTTTGCAGAGTAGAGTGGCTGTGCAGATTCTGTTGCCATGATGAAGACTTATGCAAACTGAGACTGATGAAGAGGCATTTCTTATGCAGGATTACTCTGAGCTCAGAATCTCATACCCGTACAGACTGTTGGGACTGTTTATGGGCTCAGTGTGACGATATATTGGTGATAACTGTAAATGTTGGACTGAACCCTGTCCTCACATTCTCTGCAGGTATGATGGGTCCTCCCCCTGGCATGCGGCCACCCATGGGCCCTCCAATGGGCATGCCCCCAGGCCGTGGTGCCCCTATGGGCATGCCACCTCCAGGCATGAGACCTCCACCACCAGGAATGAGAGGTAAGACCAGCTTAGAGTATTCTTCTTTAAAATGACAGACTTTTTTTGGTGTTTGGTGTTAACTGCCCCATGACTGTCATCTTTGTCTCCACCAGGACCACCTCCCCCAGGCATGCGCCCCCCCAGGCCTTGATTCTCCACACTGGACTCAAACGTGTTATGAGGCTTTTCTCTTCCTTTTGCAGGAAGCGTTGACTGTGGGCTCTTGTATAGTTTCAGTTGATTGTTCTTTTTGTAATTTTTTTTAATAAAGTGTATTTGACTGGTATCATTTTAAAAAGGCTCCTGGTGTGTTTATGCTTGTACTGCTTTTCTGCTTGTTGTAAATTGTCTGTGCAGTTAGACTGCTATTAAGTGTATTTTCAATTGCTCATTTTACCTGTTGATGAAAGCAGAGTCCTATAGTCAAGTAGTTTTGAGTGCTGGTGGCTGATTTTTGCTTTTTAAGTTGCCAGAAATGTGATGGCTTATCTAATGTATAGGCAGAATGTTGAAGGCCGAACAGGCTGACAGTGTTTGGGGAAACGCACACATTTTAAGCCGCTTATCCTTCTGGGTCACGGTGTTTGGGGAAACAAAAGTGTATAAAAAAAATTCTTGCTGCACTAGCTTGGACTTCCTGCTTCTTCATCTACTGCTAATGTGTCAAACACAAGGATTTCAGGCCAAGTTAGGCCCATGACCATCTTATTCGGCCTGCGAAATTAATTTTCTATAGTATTAGCCCGTTTCACCCTGAGATGTACTACCAGCATGCACCGCAACATGTGTGCGTTCTGACCCCTCTTCCACCAGCAGCAATCAATGGGCCAGCAGTTACACGAAAAGAAAAGATGCCTGGTGTCTATTTTGAGCAATTAGGCAGTTGTAAAAAATCTACCTAAAACAATTTTTTTTCAGAATTATTTTTGAATAAGTGCTCAGTGCCTATTTTGCTGTTGGAAGTTTTGGCATATTTTGAACAAACAATGGTCTGTTGGGGTCGTGGGAAAATGTTATGTAAAATTGGAATAAAAACACGGCTGGCCTACAAATTTGCTGAGATTTTTTTAATATGGCACTTTTAGTGGTTCAGTTTGACACCCCTGATCTACTGTGTAGGTTGTTCAAGGGGCTAGAGGGGTGCTGTCCTGTTTTCCTATCTCTTATGCAGTAATGTGGTAAACTTCCACTGAAATTCTAATTGCTTTGTTCAATGTTATAAAACCGGATGGTTTGTGTATTTGGTCACCTGAATGTGGCTAATAGCTCGTTATGCCCTTGCAGGAAAAAAAACTTTTATTCATTTTATGAAACTACATAATTTAGACACCTTACACTTGTATCACTGACCTTTTTGGTGGTCTTAACATGCTTTTAAAAATGGTTCATGCTTAAAATAAACACAAGGTGTGTGTATAAATATTTGTTAAACTTTTGAAACCTACTCATTTTTTTCCCAGTCCAGATATGGAAATTTTGTGATGTTACAAAAACCGAGTTACATATATCCACATATTCACCCTTTGGCAGGAGTGTTTCAGGACTTTTTTTTTATAAGATACAGGGCAGCCAATCAGAACAGAGATTATTTACACATCAGTCATTTAATTCTAAGGGATAAAGTTGAGTTTGAATGTGTAAAACTCAATGACGGCGTGACGGTTGTTGATATAAACCACAAAAAACCATAAGTGGACCTCGGGTAGAAAAAGAAAGGTGTATGATATGAGTCATTTAAAATAATCTGTGTAGCAAAATATGCCGAGAACAAGCGCCAGTCTTCTTCTCACCACACGAGGGCAGCGTCGTTCAGTGGCCTCTGCTGCTGCCGAAGGAGGAAACGCGTGCGACGCAGTTCCTGGAGTTTTTCAGCGCACGTGTGTGTGCTGTGAGTGAGGAGTCTGGATGTGGTGTTTCAACGCTCACTGATAAGTTATTATTATTTATATGCGATATTACATACATTAGCATTCCATCTAGCCTAGTAGATAACACCCCGAAGCCCGCTGCTTCATCGCCAGCTGGCTCGGCTAAGCGGTAGCTGACGTTAGTTAGTAGGATCTGGACAGTCTGTGAGAACAACATGTTTTCAGATTTTGATCTCGTCGGGACCATTGAGGACGACGCAGATGTGCCTGTGGAGAGCGAGTCGGGCTCTGAGGGTGAAGAGGTGAGCACGTGTCCGTTTGTTCGGCTCACTGGCTTCATATCACAACTGAATCACTTGTTATTGAAAATCACAGGTATCAGCATTAGGGGTGTAACGATTCACAGAACTCCTGATTCGGTTCGATACGCTAATACCGTGGTGTCTCGATTCTGCGGAGGCCCTAAGGTGGCATGGTGATTGTTTTTCCATAAGGCATGGCTACAAATAAATATACTGAGGCCACAAATTAATTTATTGAGGCCACAAGTTATAAGAAACTTACAGTAACATGTGGCTACATCTTCATGTCACTTTAGGGCTCGGTACGATTTAATGTTTTTAATACAGATTGAAAAAGTAGCGCCTGAAAATCTGTCATATGTTTAAATCTAAAAGGGGCAGTCCACTGATTTTTCAAAAATGCGGCATATTTAAATTGTTGAGATGACAAAGACACAGGAAGCAGGGGTCACAATGTTTACAAAAGTATATATCCAAAACCACCAGTGAATCTATACGTCTTAGTTTTTGTGAAGCGTTACACTGTATATGTTTATAATAATACACTATAGACAGTGTGCGCTCATAAAGAGTGCACTTTCATCCCTGATTTTGATCTTGAGAGATGATAGTCCATGCAATGTGATCAGTATTTGTTCCAGTCTGTTTAACATATTATTTGATACCTTTGCATGTTGAATTAAACTGTGCAATGTATGTCACACCTCTAATCAGCGTACTGTTTACAGAAACAACTGCTTTTTCACTTCTTCATTATTCCTCCTCCTCAGGAGCAGCCCATAGTCCTGAATAAGGAGAGAAGGGCATTGAAAGGACGAGGCAACGGAGACTTCAATTTCGACTTTGAGTTTGGAGAGAGTGATGGACTGTACAGCGAAGATTGGGCCATGGCCTCTGTTATGGCCCAGCTCAAAAAGAGAGTGAGTACAGAATAGAGCAAGGTGATGCACTGTATGTCTGAAAGTATCCAGAGACCCCTTTTAATTAGTGACCTCAGCTAATTAACAGTGCACCATTGCTGGCACAGGCGTTCTACTGTGCACACACAGCTTGTATAATCTCCATGGAAAAGCATTGCGCAATAGAATAGGACTGGGCAGCTGCACAAGGGCCTAAGGTCACCATCTCCAGTGCTGATCGTCAGCTAGAGTGGTATAAAGCCCCCCCAGCATTGGGCTGTGGAGCAGTGGAACTGTTCTCTGGAGTCAATGAGGTTCATCTAATACATTTGGGATAATCTGGAGTGGCCTTTGTGAGTCAGAACTAATCATCTGACATCAGTACCTGACCTCACTGATGCTCTTGTGGCTGAACATATTTGAAATTCTCACAGCAATATTTTAACATCCAGTGTAAGGCCTCCCAGAAGAGTAGAAACTAAGAGGGACAGACGCCCTATTAATACCCGTTTTTTCAGAAGAAACATTGGATGAGGAGGTGTCTGCAGACTTTGGACAGATATAGTGCAAGTTGTCTGTACTGGTGTTGCTGTTGCACAGCTGATTTATAGTGTTAGCAGTATTGATACGTAAAAAAAAAACCTGTAGTGTCTGTTTAGTTGTGTGTCCATTGAGTGCTTCAGATAGTTTTGAAAGAGCTGTTCCAGCAGGTTTCCTCTCAATAAACATGGTATAGTTAACAACATTCCAGTCAAAACAAATGTTCAGTTTGTAGTCACTCAGGAAGCATTAATTAACCTTAGTAGTGCAGACTTAAATATCATGATAACTTTGGAAAATATTGTGACATACATCTTAGGCATATCAGATTTAAGTCAGAAGTTACCAGATGTAGTAGGTGTGTTGGAGCAGCTGGATTACCAAACTGTGCTGGATGCTGAATCTCCAGAACCGGTATTTGATTCCTCACAAGCTCTATGTGATGATCGTTGCTCTGGGATAATGGTGTCCTAGGACTATACTTGGTCACTATGTTGACTTATCCTTCTCCTCTCTGTTTTCAAGAAAGCACCCACCACGCTGGATGAGAAGATCGAGAAAGTGCGTAAAAAGCGCAAAACAGAGGTAAGTCCATGACACCACATCTGATTGTCAAAGGTGTTTTGATTGCACTGTGACCCACACTGACTGTAATGATGGTGTTCAGGAGAAAGCTCAGAAAGACGGCAAGAAAAGTGACGCTCCAGTTACCAAGGAAGAGGAAGATGGTGAAGATGAAGATGACGAAGATGGTGACAATGAAGATAATGATCATGAAAAAGAGGACGGTAATGAGAGTGATAATGGAGATGACGATGGTGATGATGATGATGATGAAGAGGATGAGTTTTCTTCAGGGGATGAAGAAGTCCTCAAAAAAGCAGGTAAGAGGAATAGACCTGCAGATTCAAGCATTTATTTTGCTAATGTTTACACACGAAGACATATTTCCAGTCTTTATGATTATTTATATCGTGTTTTACACGTGCATTCTACCTTGTTATTGTCCACTTTGTCCTTGTAGATACGCTAAGGGAGAAAGGAAAGAAAGGCAAAAAGAAGGTTGCAGAAGATGTAAGCATTAACCAGATTTTTACTTGGTCTGCACGGTGAACTGAATAGACTACAGTGCATGTGGAGCACACAGCTCTAGGTCATCAACAGGATCTTTGTGTTTACACTTCTCTGTTTTTTCTGCAGCCTGAAGCCTTCTTTGAAGATGCCTCACAGTATGATGAAAACCTCACATTCCAGGACATGAATCTGTCCAGACCTCTGCTGAAGGTCATACACCATGTTTCACGTTTGTTGAAAAGTTTCCCAAAAATTTTACAAAGGCCTTGAGTTCAGTGCTTGAAATTCGTATATTGGTATGCATAGAAAAGTGGTTGACTTCAGCATTAGAACAAAATTACCTGGTAAATTAAAGGGATTCACTGATATGGAATTTCTGAGGTGCTAATGATAATCGAAAATCAGCACCTTGTTGTGGCCAATCCTAATAAATAATAATTTTTTTTTTGGGGTTATTTCTAGTCACGCCATAATCCGTATATAAAGTGTGAGCATGAGGTTACAAATCGAAAGATCATCAAACCTTTGATCTTTCTTGTTGGGAGTGGTGGGGATAGTCTGTGCTGTTTTTTCAGGTAATGAGAAGAATAGAAACAATTAGTAGTTTAAATCATC